TCAAATCCCACCTTTAGCCCTACCCACCCTTGCTTAGGACCAGCCTTTAAAGGTCAGATTGGCCAAAACTTTGGAAAGGCACAATACTAGTAATTTTCAGCGCAATGTAAATGAGTGAGAATAATAAATCAATTACTAATAGCTATTGAATTCTGTCTTCAAGGTTGGGTGTCGCCAACACCGAAATGCAGTCACAACTGAAAGTACAGAGAAAATATTACATCGTTATGAAGGTACCTAGGCAACAAAATCTGTTGGGAATGATGCATCCGTCCATAAACCACCGACACTACTTCGATACTGAGTCAAAGGATGATTTGTGCCTTGAATAACGGGTGTAGTTATCGAAACAGTTAATCCACGTCAATAGCAGTAAAAACAAAAACGAGTTCCCAAGCACATTCCCAAAAATAATAGCCAATCAGTAGGCAGTTTTCAAACTACTCCAACAAAGTATGTACTGAATTATCGCCACTCCCCTCACTTCCCCCCTTCAGCCGTCACCAGCGATGCCCGCCCTAGCGCGCAGCTGACACTACCCGGACCAGGCCGAAGCCACCGACGGCAAGGCCCTCGCGTCCGCCGCCGTTTCCTGAAAGCAAGCTCGATACCCGGTAGGGCTGGCGAAATGCTGCCAGATTTTGCTTCTGGTGGCCGCTCGAGAGCTCGCCATTCCACATTAGCGCTACTGCAGTTGGTCAAGGTTGGCGTAATCTCATGGGATTTGTATTGGGCAAGTTCTGACGAATCTTTATTTTATGTTTTGGTGTGGTGAGTATGTGGCAATGGCAACATGTTATCGTTTTGCATGATGTAGGGAGGAATATATCACTTCGAAAATACAAGCCCGCATATCCTACGACTCCAAGTCTTTCTGCTTCCATTGGTGACTGTCTGGCGTGCAGCAATCGACTACGCCTCCACCTGCTTTGCGTGTAATGAAGGCTGAACACAGCGCATCATAAACGCCTCGGTGGTCAGTACGCTGCTTTCTCCAACGGTTTCGGAGAGAACCTGGTGTCTTCGAGTGACCTTTGTCGTCAAGCTTGCATAGTGCCGCGTTCGTCTTCGTGTCCAAGTCCGCGGAGAGCGTCCACAGTTCTTGCTTCCACAGCTGATTTGCGACGCCGTCCGGATCTAAAGGGGCTGCCGGTACGTCCACGTCTCGCCCGGCCACAATGATCATGATGTTGATGCACGCTTTTAGATCGGCACGGATGAACTGCTGCTTCTTTTGTGTTGCTGTGTTCCAAAGCTGAAGTGTGTATCAGTTGTAGAAGCACCCAGCAAGCGCGTGCGCCTCAACAACAACGTCGGCGGTGCGGTGAGAGCGTGGATTTTCGGTCGCGCAGCTACACGAGGTATTGCCTGGAGAAGCCGACGATGACGGTTCTTGAATCTTGACGAGCTTCTGCAGCGCCCGCTGCATTCTTGACACCGAGGACAGCAGCTGCGTTACAGCGGCAGCAAGAACGGTCGTGTCTCCACCGCTGAGCGAAGTTCTCTGTTTCCCACGAGGTGCGTAGCCATCCAAAACACGTTTCCAGAGACAACCGGTATCCCAGCGCAGCATTTGTAGTGTCAAATGCTTCCAGCAAGCGGTACAAGTAGTGGGATGTGTAACCCGTCGCTGCCTGCTCCTTCGTGATGACTGCAGCCACGTCGTCAAGGTGGATCAACAGCGATGCGAGCGCTGCATCCAATACGTTGCTGTCAACGTTCAGGGACACGTCCGTGAAGCCGCACACGTTTTCCGGCAGGGTCGAAATGGTTGGGGTACTACATGGCAGATGCGGGTCTCGGTATCCGGCCAAAATTTTGGCCACGCTTTGATCTTCGCGAGTGGTAGTACCAACGTACGCGAACGCGATTTCGTGAGCGAATCCAGCAGCCACGCACCTCGTGTGAAATCCATTGGATCGCCAGTTCAGGCGAGGTGTTCGCGTACGCTGCGGAACCTCGTCGGAGTGAGTGACTTGATAATCCTGGAATGATGGGCGGCGGCAGTAGTGCAACCTTTTAGCGATACACTTTGTGGCTTCTACGATGATGTCATTTATATACTTGGCTACACTTGGACGCCCTCGCACGTGCTTCAGGCGTGGCTCCAGCTGCGCTTCTGCTTTCTCTTCAAGG